GATATCTCGAATATCGTAGCGACTGAAACATGAGGCGGCCTGGTGCGGCACATTCAGTTGACTGGAAGCAACACAAACGAGAGATTCAGCTGGGTTCCAGGTGAGTCTTTCGAAAAAACCAACTTAGTTTGCAAATGAGTGTATATTCGCCAATTTCGTGCAATTTGGTTTCAAGTAGAACATAAGGTTGACGGAAACCCGGGGACTGCGCCTACCTCATGAGCCGCAAAAAAGGCGATAGGTCGTGGGCTATCGACGAATTTTCAGCAGCCTTATGAGTAGTACATTACAGAGACCTCTTCTGATATTTATATGGAAGACTGGGGTCGTCCACATTTTGAAAACACTCTGGTCTCCAAATTATTACCTGTCCGCATTCAATCTTTCACAATCATTGATCTAGTAGCCATCTTTGTTGTTCGCTCAGGAGATTTATTTACTCGAGTTTACCTGGTGCATAATACGCCTGAGTGACCCGAATCACATTCAAGGAATCCTCGTCTGTTACTACCTACTATTATTAGAATTCCCACAGTTTCGCCAACGCACTAGTAATGCCACCGAATATCACCTGTGAAAGAATATTCCTCAAATCTGAATTCACCATCTTTCGATAATGTACAATAACGTTAGTATAAATGTATATATGTAGTAAGATAACAGTAAGAAGGTATTACATAACTGGGGTGTAATGCATGCGTGAAGAGCATTCCTACAAGGGGAGGAAGGTGACGCATTTGCAATCGTACAGCAACCTCACGAAGTACCACCTTGAGAGGTGGACCAATCTAATGAAAATGTCGTAGATAAACCCTTCTACTTGAGAGCCCCCCACCACCAGAAGATGCCAAAGAACTACCCGGCGAGTTATCCTTTCCTCCCAGGAATTGGCAACGAGGTATATGCGAACAACGTTTGTCCTGGAACCCCTGCAAAACTGTGCCCGCATTCTATTCTTTTCGACCGGCTCTTTGTGAGTTCACTTGATTTAAGAGAGTGCAAAACGGCAAACACACCTGTCAAGTGATCTTCGATGGCCTTGAACGTACGTTCCGTTGTAAAGAACTCCCTCCTCCTCACAGACAAACGGCCTAGGTCAATTCCAGAACGTTCCATCGCCGGCCTATCACATGCTGTCTGCAGTCAGTTGATAAAATCCCATGGTTATTTTCCGCGTTTTCTGACAGGGTCAGACGAGAATGCCCATTTCAGCTGAATAAAACGTTGCAGCTATTCGCTGAGCATGTATAGCAATCATTCATCCAGTAGCAAAACGCTATAACCCTCTACAGTGGTCGTATTCCCCACTCAATTTGACAGCTTGAAAGTGGTGGATGGTGGTTCTTGGGAACTTAAAGCCAACGCATTTATGTTGCATCGGCTTAAGCCATTATTCATAATGGGAAACGTCCCAGAGGATGTAGCAGTCTGCTAATTCAAACCAATCAGAACAGTCTAAAAGGGCCCACTAGTTTGTAATGTACTACTCACAAGGTTGCTGAAAATCCGTCAACAGCCCACGACCGGTTTCGCCCTTCTTTGGGGCTCATCAGGTAGGCGCAGTCCTCGAGTTTCGATCGACTTTATGTTCTGCTTGAACCTAAATTGCATGAAATTAGGGAAATACAATCACTTACTCAAGGACATCATTAGCGAGAGATTCAGCTACTTTCCAAGTGAGTCTTCCGTCCAAACTAAATTGGTATGCAAATGAGTGTATTTCTTCAGATTCGTGCAATTTGGATTCACGTAGGACATAGCGAAAACTCGGGGACTGCGCCTACCTGATTAACCCCAAGAAGGGCTATCGACTAATTTTCAGCAACCTTATGAGTAGTGTATTGAGCGTAAACGTTTCTAGCAACCTTACGTCTAATTACTGTCACATTTGAAATTTTCAAGAAGGACCGGACAACTCCACCTTCTTTCGTTACCTTTAGCTGATTGCTTATCTAGACCGGTTCGATTTTGCCTAAGAAACTCAGCTTATCTTCCGCTTTGACCGACAAACCGCTCCCCCCAGCCTGCGACATCCCCTAACTTTTCTGAGTAGGTCGGATTAAACGAAATCATGCTTCATTTGCATTAAAAACGATACAAACCCGTGTTAATTATGGTTTCAAACGATTATGACGAGTGATTAGGGAAAATGTGACCGACTTTTGCCGATAGAAAGCATGCTTTTGAATCTGGGAAGGTTGGTGAGCCTATCTTTGTCACGTGACGTTTTGATTGCTGGATAGGTAGTGTTGTCCGACGATAGATGAAGTTTTTTGCGACCAAACTGAGCTCCGGTGAGTTGGCCAGCTATCGCTTTTACGGAACGGTTTATTCTTCTTTTTGTTGAAACAGACTGTTATCGAACCGGTTTTAGCTACATCTCAGAGACTAGACCGAGTCGGTCGGTGGAAAAAACATGTGTTATGTCAGTGGCAAGCTACTGAAGTTCCTGCCTAGACGGTTTTTCCCGTTAGTACTGAGAACACTTCAGACCGGAAGGACTTAAACTGCTGGAATATTGCGTCTTGATGATTGGGTTAAATTGGAATATTTCCACCAACTCTTTTGGTATCAAAGAGAATTAGGTCGACCACACTCAGTTGGAAGTAATTGGTTTATCAGTTTTAATCAATTCGGTTATGCAGCTTGATTTGAGATTAAGGGGAGATCCAACTGGATCCCAGCTGATAGTACATTCTTCTATTACTGAATGTTTTGTCTAATGACTAACTCGTTTGGCATGACATTCCAGACATCACTCAAGGGGAGATCCAACTGGATCCCAGCTGATTGTACATTATTCTCTTAATGAATGTTTTGTCTAATGACAAACTCGTGTGACACAACATCCCAGATATCGTAAGTAAGTTTCCTTGACGAGGCACAACTCATGGGTTGCTGTAAACGCTTGCATAATCCACAACCGAGGCTCACTTGAAGCCCTCTTGAGGTTCATCGGGCAGGCGCAGTCCTCAAGTTTCGGACAACCTCGTGTTTCGCTTGAACCCAAATCGCCCGAAATTAGACCTATACACTCATCTGCATGCCAGTTTGGTTTTGACGGGAGACTCACCTAGAACCCGGCTGAATCTCTCCTTCATGATATTCTCGGACTGCACCCGGTCAGCTCATGTTTCGTTTGACAGGAGACATTGTAGGAATCTCTCCTTCATGATATTCTCGGACTGTACCCAGTCAGTTCATGCTTCGTTTGACAGGAGACATTGTGATATATTGTATAGATGTGATACACTACTCAAACGGTTACTGAAAACGCTTCGACAGCCCGAAACCGATTTTGCCCCTGTTGAAACAGGCAGGCGTACTCTCCGAGTTTCTCAAAACCTTATGTTCTGCTGGAACACCAAATTTTACGCGGCCGGGGAATTGCGTAGAGCTGACGTAAAACTGCATACAATTCATACTCAGTATTCAAAACAAACTTACGAGTTTGTACAACAATCTAATCTTCCGGATTGTGATGCATGCGACCTTTTAAAAATCATCTTTGTGCTCGATGTGGTGGTTAGGTGGTTATGCAATCCACGTCGACAGAGAGTAGATGTTTTTTATCAGTAAAATGCGTGACAAGCAAGCCTCCTTTGTGTTGCTGTCAAGCCAAACATACAGGGTGTCTCATAATAAACGCAAAAAATAATACTCTTGGTAAAACTTTAACACTAATTGAAACATTTATTATTTTTCATTTAAACATACACATATTATGCAGGTTTATTGTAAATACACTGGCATTACAAAAATTTCGAAAAAACGGCCTCTTTCTTCTATAACACATTGGAGGCGGTATAAGATGTGAGACAGCATGTTTAACTTCTTCAAGCGTCACTGGTGAACACTCCTCTTCAATTCTTGCTTTTAGCTCCACGAAATTCTTCTTCCATGATGTTCTGTAATAAAGTCGAATGATACAGGTAGAGATGAATGTGGCGTCTCATAATACGATGCACGCTGGCGCGTGGAATGCCGGTCAACTGAAACATCTGAGTTATTGACGAAGATGCCATGGTGCTCTGGGACTGAAGTTGCTCGACGGCATTCTGTACAATAGGCGTTCTTTCATCACTCAGAGACTTTCTCCCTTTGCCAGAAAAATCCAAAACAGATCCACTGGACTCAAGTTTTGTAATCAAGCGTGTACCGGTCCACACGGTGAAAGGATCTTTGATGAGACCATGTTTGGTTTTGTAACCACGAAGTGCAGCGGTGGCGCTTTCACCAAGAGGAATAACAGAGTCTCACAATTTCAATGCGCTTGCTGACATCCATGGTGAACAGAAAAAATGTCAACATTTGCATACAAAAACTCCTTTATGTGGCTACTAAAAATGAAAAATTTTGTCATCATATCTTTAATTAACTACGTTTATTAACCCAATTAACATTTGCGTTTATTATAAGGCACTCTGTAATCTAATGGTCGGACTTCAACTCCTGTCTTACATACGCCGCTTCGATGGAGCAGTTTCGAAAACATCCAGCTGCGTCGATCGGCAGACCGGGACAGGACCATGCGGATGCCGGTTCTGGAACGTTGCTGCTTCACACCTCAGCTGATGACACTTTCTACTTTGCTTCACAAAAGGTAGAGCATAAAACTATCGAGTTCATTGTTGGTTGTACGAGGTGACTTGGGACATCGTCCTGTAAGTGAGGCCAAAAAGCCGAGAGGCATTGTACGGCGCTTTCATCCTTGGTGGGGATCGTCAACA